GGGACCCCAAATTTGGGAATTTTGGGAGATCCAAGATGGGGGGGGACCCCAAATTTGGGAATTTTGGGAGATCCAAGATGGGGGGGGACCCCAAATTTGGGAATTTTGGGAGATCCAAGGTTGGGGTGGGACCCCAAATTTGGGAATTTTGGGAGATCCAAGGTGGGGGTGGGACCCCAAATTTGGGAATTTCGGGACAGTTGGGTGGGGGGAACCCCAAATCTGGGCTTGGCCCCAAACCCGGGGCTGCATTTTGGGGTCGAATCCCCATTTTGGGGGGGTCACAGCGGCCTGATTTTGGGGGGATTTTGAGGGGGGGGGGTTCCCTCTTTTTGGGGGGTCCTGAACCAACCCCCCGACCCCCCCAGTGCCGCTGGTGTACCCCGAAAATGTGGGGGTGGAGATCCTGAACAGCACCAGCGTCCGCGTCTCCTGGAGCCTGGGCGGCGCCGCGCGCGACCTGCGGGGCCACCTGCGGGGCTACCGGGTGAGGGCCCCAAATTCCCAAAATTCCCAAAATTCACCCAAATCCACCAAATCCCAACGGGAATTCCCCGAAATCCTGCAGGGAAACCCCAAAATCCTGCAGAGAAACCCCAAAATCCTGCAGAGAAACCCCAAAATCCTGCCCAAAATTCACCAAATCCCAACGGGAATTCCCCAAAATCCCAACGGGAATCCCCTGAAATTCTGCAGGGAAACCCCAAAATCCTGCAGGGAAACCCCAAAATCCTGCAGGGAAACCCCAAAATCCTGGCCAAAATTCCCCAAATAACATCGGGAATTCCTAAAAATCCCAACGGGAATCCCCAAAATCCTGCCCAAAATTCACCAAATCCCATCGGGAATTCCCCAAAATCCAAACGGGAATCCCCCGAAATTCTGCAGGGAAACCCCAAAATCCTGCAGAGAAACCCCAAAATCCTGCCCAAAATTCCCCAAATCCCATCGGGAATTCCCCGAAATCCCAACGGGAATCCCCCGAAATTCTGCAGGGAAACCCCAAAATCCTGCAGGGAAACCCCAAAATCCTGCAGAGAAACCCCAAAATCTTGCCCAAAATTCCCCAAATTACATCGGGAATTCCCCAAAAATCCCAACGGGAATCCCCCGAAATTCTGCAGGGAAACCCCAAAATCCTGCAGGGAAACCCCAAAATCCTGCAGGGAAACCCCAAAATCCTGGCCAAAATTCTCCAAATCCCAACGGGAATTCCCCAAAATCCCAACGGGAATCCCCCGAAATTCTGCAGGGAAACCCCAAAATCCTGCCCAAAATTCACCCAAATCCCAACGGGAATCCCCGAAATCCTGCAGGGAAACCGTAAAACCTGGCCTGGAATTACCAAAATCCCAACGGGAAACCCCAAAATCCTGCCCAAAATTCTCCAAATCCCATCGGGAATTCCCCGAAATCCCAACGGGAATCCCCGAAATCCCCCAAAATTCCCCCAAATTACATCGGGAATTCCCCGAAATCCCAAAGGGAATTCCCCGAAATTCTGCAGGGAAACCGTAAAACCCGGCCCGGAATTGCCAAAATCCCAACGGGAATCCCCAAAATCCTGGCCAAAATTTCCCAAATCCCATCGGGAATTCCCCGAAATTCTGCAGGGAAACCCCAAAATCCTGCAGAGAAACCCCAAAATCCTACAGAGAAACCCCAAAATCCTGGCCAAAATTCCCCAAATTACATCGGGAATTCCCTGAAATCCCAACGGGAATCCCCCGNGAAACCCCAAAATCCTACAGAGAAACCCCAAAATCCTGGCCAAAATTCCCCAAATTACATCGGGAATTCCCTGAAATCCCAACGGGAATCCCCCGAAATTCTGCAGGGAAACCCCAAAATCCTGCAGGGAAACCCCAAAATCCTGCCCAAAATTCTCCAAATCCCAACGGGAATTCCCAAAATCCCAATGGGAAACCCCAAAATCCTGCCCAAAAATTCTCCAAATCCCAACGGGAATTCCCGAAATCCCAACGAGAAATTGCAAAATCCTGCCCAAAATCCACCAAATCCCAACGGGAATCCCCCGAAATTCTGCAGGGAAACCCCAAAATCCTGCAGAGAAACCCCAAAATCCTGCCCAAAATTCCCCAAATTACATCGGGAATTCCTAAAAATCCCAACGGGAATTCCCCGAAATTCTGCAGGGAAACCCCAAAATCCTGAAGGGAAACCCCAAAATCCTGCCCAAAAATTCTCCAAATTACGTCGGGAATTCCCCGAAATCCCAATGGGAAACCCCAAAATCCCGAGTTTTGGGGCAGTTCTGGGGGATTTTGGGGCATTTTTGGGTGTTTTTTGGGATTTTTTTGGGTGTTTTTTGGGACATTTTGGGGTGGTTTTTTTGGGATATTTTTGGGATATTTTGGGGTTCCTGACCCCCCTCCTCCCACAGGTGCTCTACTGGCACGAGCGCTGGGTGAGGGGTTTTGGGTCATTTTTGGGTGTTTTTTGGGACATTTTGGGGTGGATTTTTTGGGATATTTTTGGGGTATTTTGGGGTGGATTTTGGGGTGTTTTTTGGGACATTTTGGGGTGGTATTTTTGGGATATTTTTGGGGTATTTTGGGGTTGCTGACCCCCCTCCTCCCGCAGGTGCTCTACTGGCACGAGGGCTGGCTGGGCAGTTCTGGGGGGGTTTGGGGTCATTTTTTGGGTGTTTTTTTGGATATTTTTGGGTGGATTTTTGGGTGTTTTTTGGGACATTTTGGGTGGTTTTTTTGGGATATTTTTGGGGTATTTTGGG